TATCTCCAACAAACATGGTGATTTCTCAAAGGCACTGGAGCTGTGGGAACAAGCAAGGCAGCTGTTTGAGCGGTCTTCACAGGCCAAGCGGGTTCAGGATATTGATGAAAGGCTGGTTGGGATTGGTGAGGATATCAAGGAGCAGCACAAAATGAACTTGTCTCAACTCACCGAGCTCAATGCTCCTATGGGGACGGTGGAACAGGTGGATGAGGATTTGTCAGAGGATGAGTTGGAGAATGAAGAGGCCCGGTTGGTGGCAGTGTGATCTATGAACAATTATTGTTGGCATCCCTTCCTTTGCTTGTAGTATTCATGTGAGACTACCTTTAGTTCAGAAAATATATTGAATTATTCATTCACTCCTGCGGAAAGGTCAAACATAACACTAAAAGGTGTGTTGAATGAATGAGTAGGTGTGCAGATGGGATAATTCCACCCGTGCCTTTGTCACAGACCTCACCACACACTATGCATTAGGGCTTCGACCCGTTGCCGTCGCTGACGGGTACGGGTCCCGTCGTGATGGGACGGAACCCGTCCGGCAAGCCATCGAGGCACTATTATCGACGGCCGGGTACGGGACGGGTGTACCCGTTAGCGGCTGTCAACAGGGCGATGGGTTGGCTTCAGGTTTCGGGGAATATACTGGTCAAAGGGTAGGTGTATGTTCCCTCCTTCTGAGCCTCCAATGATAGGTTCGTCTTTAGTTCTTCACAGCTCTGCGTAGATCAAACCAATGGGCTTAGATCACCAAGGCCGAGATGGCCGGCAGCGGTCACAAAAAAATGCCAGCCTCCCACAACCGCTTGACAGTCCTACGTTAATGATCAAGAACAAGGCTCCCTAAGGCGCAGATGCCTCAGGCTCAAACTCTAGTGCAGTGAATCTTGGCCTGAAGATCAACGATATCGATCAACCTTTAGTTCAACTTCGGATTCGTCTTATAACAGTTGCTTACCTGGTCGGTCGCAAATCAATTCATATTGACGCCGCAGGTGATTCCGGTGAGTGTTGGGAGATGCAGAACCACAGGTGAACTAATTCTTCAGTGTGAATTACCAATTATCTGCCTGCTTTGAATCCGGCATCCGATGACCCGTTGACGGCCGTAACGGGTCTGACCGACGGGACCCGTCCGTCAACGTCTTTCTGCCTGCGCTCGGACGGCCGGGTGGCCCCGTCCCATCATCAAAAGCGGCTGTTTTTCTGACGGTCGTCCCATTAAACGGACGGGTCGAAACCCAACTATGTATTCCTAGCTCACATTTTTCTGCCCCTCGCAGGTCCCATGTGTATTACTTGGTAGGTTGGTCCTGTTTTGTAAATTTTATCAAAACTTTTACGTAAATTTTGCCGCAGCAAATATCAAATTTGATACTAGAGCATATTTGCAACCACCAAAACGACGCTCTGATCCAAAAAGTGATGCTGATTTCCAGAAAGTTGTGATCAGTAATGATCTTTTGATGACACAAGTTCAGAAGAAAAGGCGACGCTGAAGGGAATTGGGTCAGGTAAAATCATGGTTGACTGTGAATGGCCTTTCATGTGCGCTGGAATTTTCCCTGATTTTTCGAGCGCCAGGTTGAAGGGGTGCTGCCCTTCAGAGATGTGTCCGCATCAAATCAATCAACTCTGTTCGCCTAAATCTTGAAGTGATCGCCAAAATAGGGCTCTGGGCCGCCCGTCTGACGGGGACGGCCGTCACCAAAACGGCCGTCAGTGGGAGCGGGACGGGGTTACCCGTCCGTCAACAGGTGAATGTCAAAGTCCTGACGGACGGGTCCCGGCCGTCACACCCGTAACGGCCGGCAACGGGTATACAATTTCGATAACATTAATTCCAAGCCTCCATTGGTTCGGCCACTTCGCATAGTCAAACATATCAATAAGACAGTACTCTGGGAGCTAGTTACTTTGCTCGATGATGGTGACACCCGCATTTTTGGGCTGAAAAACGCCACAAATTGCGGTCCGGCATCTGCCGAACGTCCATATATAGAAATTTTGCATGATTGCCGAGAAATGAGCTGGGGAAAATTGGACACTTGGGGTGACGCATGACACCCTATGAACACTTGGTCAAAATGATACAGTAGTACAGTGCCAAGAGTCGATCGGTGGTGATGCGAAACACGCATCAAGTCACATGGGCGGCGCAACCCGTCCACCCGTCGACGGGCGGAGACGGGCCACCCGTCAACGGGTTTACCCCGTCAGGCACCCGGCCGTCTGGAACTAGATGCTAGACTGCTAACGGACGGGTCCCGTCCCGTCCGGCCGGCCCGTCAACCCGTCACCCCTGACGGGCGGCCCAGAGCCCTACGCCAAAATCTGAAGGGCGTTGCAAATATGCTCTATTGCCGGCCTAGAGCCCTCTTATGACACGGTGGAGATGATTTTGGCGGTTGACTTTGATCAGCTGGCGCATATGACAGCTGCGAACGCGCACGAGATTTGGAAGGAACTAGAGCGTGTACATCGTTCTCGTGTTTTTGCAACGAAAATGGCGCTGCGTCGAAAATTCATGTCAATGAGGATGGATGAAAGTCAGAAGATGGCCTCCTGGATTGGAGATGTCCAAAGTGTTGCGTTCCGTTTGAAGCAGGCCGAAATCACCGTTGACGATGAAGACATTATACTCGTACTCACGATGGGCCTCCCCGACACCTATGACATATTTGTTGTGGCCCTCGATTCCACCGAAGTTGGTTCACTCACGCTGGACTACGTTATTGGACGGCTCCTGAATGAAGAATCACGTAAATCGCCGACTGGTTCACGCGACGGCGCATTCCGTGCCTCGATTCAATACAGTCGACCGAGACGACCCGTTACCGACATCACTTGTTTCAACTGCGAAAAGAAGGGACATTACCAGTCCAACTGTCCAGACAAGAAGGAGGGTGCTGCCATCGCAAGTTTTGATGCAGCTTGGTGAAGAGCTCGGCTTGAGGGGGAATGTTGGAATATCAAGCCGACGTGTCCGCGGACACGTGTCCGCCACCACGCTGTGCATGGAGACGCACAGGACGGTGAAACGGTTTCAGCTGGTCTGACGCCATTTGTATCTTGGAGTTCATTATCCTACGCACGTTGTTTATCCCATTGTTCTTACTTGTATAAAAGGCCCGCTATTATCTTGAATAATTTATCGAATTTTATTGCCCCCCCGTTTGAACCAACCTACAAATTTCTACAATACGCAACTTTGCCTATACAACTTTTTACACTTTTTTTCGACGTTGGGCGACCAATAAGCACGAAAACTCAAGTCCGGGCACACATTTGGCGGGCCCAGCCAAAAGTGTGACCAAAGATCCCAGCCGCTTCGCAACCGTGATCAGCGCAGCCACGTGAGGCGAAGCGGATGGTCACGAGCCTAAGGAGGGGATTATAAAATGCTCGAAGCTACATTGGCTACTACCCGACCCCGAGTCGAATGGGGATTGTCTGCAATATTCGCTGTAGCGCTACCCATTACCATGAGCAGGGGCACACCGTGTGCGACCGGGTGTCTTCCTACCTCAGATCGCGGTTGAATTTATGTGAGCGGGAGTAACAGCTAGCCGTGGTTGAATTTGATTTGAGTTGAAGAAGAAAAAATTCAAAGTGAGATGCAGTCTTCCGAAGACCTGATGTCAAGCCTGATGTAGTCCAGTCTTACTTGTGACGTGATAGCCGTAGGTGGACTTTCCGCCGCGTCGAGTCTTGAGGCTTCAATACGGGCAAAATCATCTGGAAGACTACCGGGAGTTGATTATAGAATGGCATAGTATCCGACTGGCTATTGGGCCCAATTTTCTTCTACCTCATCTTTTTGCAGCGAGATTTTCTGGTCATGGGAATTTCATACACAGCCACACACTCGGGTCTGAACATCTTGTCTAGCGGCTCAAATTTTATGGTTGAAGAACGCTGTTGCATAGAAGAGCTTATATAGTGCTTTTCTGGGCTAAATTCCAGCCGAAAAGGTGCGGTGTTCTCTGCTACAGTGTGAAAAGGTGTTTCCCAATCGGGACTGTCCTAATCGGGAAGGGCCATCTACGGCTTCCATAGAGCGAGTAAAATCAGACCATACTGTACTATTTCGCTCAATTCTCCGCGGCTGTGACCCGTGACACAAATTTTCGAACTTCAATGTTCGAAAATCCACTGAACCCACCGTGACTGGGAAAAAAAGTTCGAAAATGTGGCAGAGACTGGCCTGTTGGTGTGGGGTTGAAACACTGCTAGAAACACCAATTTCAGCTTGATCTGCTATGGTTGAACCAAAAGTTAAATCAGTGTTACTCACTGTTGCAATATTTGACGAAAGAAGCCGGAGATAACCAGGAAACAAGGACCCTGAAGCAGTTATTCGATGTTACTGAGCTCCGGTCTAGCATTCGAGGAAGCGGCGCAGTTTTTTCAACCAAAAGGTATTGTGGGAAAGCAAATTTGATTTTTCAACTCATTTTCAACATTTCGTGACTTCTTTTGCACTTTCGAAAATGCCCTCGGTGACCCGTGACACGTTCGAAAATTTTCTGAAATTTTGAGGCCCGTGACGCGTGACTTACGAATTGAGCGAAATAGTACAGTATATCAAGTTTTTTTCCTCTCCTAAAAAAAAGAAAAGAAAACTATATGTGGTTTGACTAGGGAGACTAAGCCTGATGTGGCTTCAAGGGAACATTGTTCAGGAATCAGGATCACAAGGACTAAAATGGAGAAGGAAAGCAGGGAGGAGCAAAAAGAGAAACGGGATTACAAGTTGTCACATCACCCGACTCCGAGTCGAACGGGGACTGCCTGCATATTCACGTAATTTTATAATTCATCACCATGGGCAGGGGCACACCGTGTGCAACCGGGTGTCCTTTCCCTTAGGCTGTGGTTAAGTTGATGTGAGTGGAAGTAGTAGCTGGCTGTGGTTGACTTTTTTTCAACGTGAAGTTCGGTGGAAGGAAGGCAGAGAGTGAGGGGAAAAAGAGATACACAAGCAAGAGGTGTTATCACCCGACCCCGAGTCGAACGAGGAACCTCCTGCAGCAATTCCATTCGACCTCTCACATGCTGGGCAGGTGCACGCCGTGTGCGACCGGGTGCTCTCTCCCCTTAGTCTGTGGTTGAGTTGATGTGAGCGAAAATTGGGTTGGGATGGTTGAACTCAATATCGTCCTAGTCGAGTTGACTTCAATATTCTGGGGGTTGTTTAAACGGAAGAAAAGGGAGAAGGAATGATTGAGCAGTAATGATTGAGCAGCTGCGACGGAGTTCCTGCAGAGAAAACAAAAAAGAGTCAAAGTCAACCCAATCACCCGACCCCGAGTCGAACGGGGACGTCCTGCATCAAGTCTCGCCGACCCCTAAGGCTTGGCAGGTGCACGCCGTGTGCGACCAGGTGTCTTCCTACCTCGGAACGTGGTTGAATCTATATAGGTTGCGGTGGCGGTTGAATTTGACCTGGTGAATGCCGGCGTGCGGATATGTTCTTTCAGTATGATTTTGTGAGTGGTGTAATAGTGATACCCCCCAAAAAAGAATTGCCAGGGAAAGCAAGGAGGAAGAAAAAAGGACAAACACGCAATATCTATTATCACCCGACCCCGAGTCGAACGGGAAATTCGAATGGGAAATTCTGCATTGAACATGCTCGATCAAGAGAATATACCTCGCAGGTGCACACCGTGTGCGACCGGGTGTTATCTGCCCTTGAGCGGGACCGTTTGAACCGTGGTTGAGTTTGTTGTTTTTGTGAGCGGAAAGTTGCAGCCTAGCCGTGGTTGATCTTTTCTGTGCGGTTTTCCGAAACCCGATATGGCGTCGAGCTTCGTTGTTCAGGATCACGAGGACAAAAATGGAGAAGGAAAGCAGAGAGGAGTAAAAAGAGCAACGCAATAACTACATCACCGGCCACGAATCGAACGGGGAACCTCCCGCTGCATGTAATTGCGAAGTTAGGTTGTGCAGGTTCACACCGTGTGCGACCGGGTGTTCCTACAAGCCTTCCAGATTTTGTTTTGTGTGAATGAGAATAAACGTTGAGGTTGCTGAGGGTGGTTACTTAAATTTGATACCATCGGGAGGGTTGGTTCCTGAGGTTGGTGGAAGGAACAGGAAGCCGCGGCGGAATTTCTACACAGCGAAAATAATTAGGTTAACGAGGAAGAAAAATGAGAGCAGCCACGCAATGCGAATCACCCGACCCCGAGTTGAACGGGGGAAATCCTGCATTAATTGGTGCTCAACAGACTAAGGCTAGCAGGTACACACCATGTGCGACCGGGTGTCTTCCTACCTTGAATTGTACTTGAATTTGAGCGGACCGTGGTTGAATTTGAACAAAAAAAAATCAAAGTGAGGTGCGGTTTTCCCAAGACCTGATGTCAGGCTTGATAGGAACTTGTTCAGGACCGCGAGGACCAAAATGAAGAAGGAAAGCAGAGAGGAGCAACAAAGAGACATGAAACAGTTGCATCACCCGGCCCTGAGTCGAACGGGGGACGTCTTGCATGACATTTAGTCGAAGAACCGGCAACGATAAGCAGAGGCACACCGTGTGCTACCGAGTGTGTGCTGTGCAGGTTTTGGAGGTGGTTTTGTACTGGGTTTGTGAGTCTGGAGGAGGTTCAGGTTGAGCATCAACGTTGATCAAATTCAATATCGTCGTGAAGTCAAGTGTGTGTGTGAGACAAATTCTTCAGCGGCTGTCGTGAAATCGCTGTGATGGAGTGAAAGGGGATTCAACGAGGCAGGAAGCAGACAGAAAAAAAAATCAGAAGGAGGAAAAAACTTGAAATGGGGCGGTATGTATCGCCCGGCCCCGAGTCGAACGGGGACATCCTGCATCAAATTTTGCCGGTCCTTCTCAGGCTGGGCAGGTGCACGCCGTGTGCGACCAGGCGTTCTCTCCCTTAGTCCGTGTTGAATTTATGTGAGCGAAAGTTGGGTTGGGATGGTTGATTTTGATATCGTCCTCGAGTCAAATCGAGTTGATTTGACTATCCTGAGGGTAGGTTGAACGGAAGAGAAGGAATGATTGAGCAGCTGCGACGGAATTCCTGCAGAGAAAACAAAAAAAAGTGTCAACTTCAACAGAATCACCCGACCCCGAGTCGAACGGGGACGTCCTGCATCAACTCTTCCGCACAGCCCATTTGAGGCAAGTGCACGCCGTGTGCGACCGGGTGCCTTCCTACGACGGAACGTGGTTGAGTTTATGTGAATGGAAGGAGCAGCTGGCCGTGGTTGAATTTGATTTGAGTGAAGTGTGGTTTTCCTAAGACCTGATATCGATGTCAAGCCTGATGTGGCTTCAGGAGGAACGGTGTTCAGGATCACGAGGACAAAAAGGGAGAAGGAAAGCAGGGAGGAAGAAAAAGGGAGTGCTGATATACGCAAGCTATTACCCGACCCCGAGTCGAAACGGGGACGTCCTGCATCAAATCTCGCCAACCCCTGTAGGCTGGACAGGTGCACGCCGTGTGCGACCGGGTGTTTTCCTACCTTGAATCGCGGTTGAATTTATGCGAGCGGAAGTAGCAGGGTGGAACTTTATCGAAGTGAAGTTCGATAAAAGATGTCGAAGGAAAGCAGAGAGGAAGAAAAAGATTCAACAATTTGCAGCGATCACCCGATCCCGAGTCGAACGGGGAGTCTCCTGCCTCAGATCCGAAGCAAGCGATATAACGATGAGCAGGGGCACGCCGTGTGCGACCGGGGGGTGCAATGTAGGTATTGGAGGTGGTTTTGTGCGGGCGAATGAGAGTGAGTTGAATTGGGTTGAGGTTGAGCTTCAGAAGGATAATCCTCGTTGAACACCCAGGTAAATTATCATCCCCGTTGATGGACAGAGAAAGACACCTGTTGCCAGTGCTGGATACCACCCTCGAACATCACTATCCCGAGAACTAGCCAACCATCGACACCGTTCCTCGCAGATGACAACTGCAGGCTACATATTTTTTTACATCAGCAAAACCGGGGTCTGCTACGTAGTACTACGTAGAACCTGTAGTTGCTGTAGTCCTGTAGAAAGGGTACCTTGTACGTAGTTTTACGTAGTTGGCCGGGGTTCTATGTAGTTGGCCGGGGTTCTATGTAGTTCTACGTAGTTCCCCGGGTTTCTACGTAGTTCTATGTAGTTCCCGGGGCGCAACCCAGTTCCGTAGGGATTAGCTGCATATTTCTCGTTATTCCCCTCAGCTGGCCTCTCAGGATTCAGACGCGTGATTTATAAAGGCATAAAAAAAGGAAATGAATTGCATAGGAATGGGTATACGAATATGGTCCGGCTCAAAACGGTCGCACTAGTCCAACTTCACCATACCACTGCTGGGTCCCGCCGCTGTCTTTCCCGATGCGATGGTGTTCATCACCTCCCACTTTGCCCATTCTGCCCTCGTCTTCTCCCAATGGCGCTGGTCCCGGGCACCCTTCAAATGGGCGATGGAATGCAGCGCATCCTCGTACACCTTTCCATACTTTGGCTCCGTGAACCGAATCCCCCGAAATTCTCCTGTGGCATACTCTTCAATGGCGACGTGAAACTGTCAGTCAATGAGCAACAAGAACATGAGAATGATGAAGATGGGACTATACAAATACGATCATGGCAGCAATAAGCTCCCCAGTGTATATCTTGAACCGATGAGGTAGTGCCTTTGCCACCGAGTCTTGGCCTGCGTGGACCAGCCGGTAAGTGAGTTCGCATATGGCAGGAGCCATTAGATTGTTGGTGTGACCCTATAAATGTTCAGCAAGATATTATGGTTTCTGGGAATCATACCTCTTTGTCGAGACCGTTCTTAAGGAAAGTGTAGTCGTTGAGAAGCTTCTCGACGTTGTCCTTCACCTTGTCGGCATATTCCGCTTGACCAAATCCATCGCCGTTGAAATCGTCTACAGTGGGGAGGATCTTGTACACGTGGGTCACCATTTTCCTGGCCTCGTCTCTGCCCCTGCCCCGGAACGTGGGTATGAAGTTCCAGATCTGAAAAGACAGACATTAGCCCCGAATAAGCCAAGAAAGCCGACATACTAGCTTCGCCATGTCCTCTTGATATTCCTCCCATATATCTAACCATTCACTTGAAAGCGCTCAGAGAAGGAGAAGGAAAAAAATGTACTGTCCGGTTGAATTAGTTCAAGCTCCTCTTCACAGTAGCAGATGGCATCGGTGAGCCATTTCATGATTTTGGGCAACAATCGGTCGTAGCCAGGATAGAGGGCGCCATTGAGGAGGGCCTCGAAGGCGTCAAGCTTGACAATGTCAAAAACTATGCGGAAGAATCGGGGATAAAACCCCTCGTGCAGTGAAGTGACGAAACCGGTGGAGGTTCGAGGTTTACGTTTACGTTTACCCCCGGTCTCCTCCTCCTCCTCCTCCTCCTCGTCTTGGTCTTGGTCTTCGTCCTCTTGGTCTTCGTCCTCTTGGTCATCACGAACTTCAGCCGCTCGCTGTCTCCAAGCATGGGACACCAGCTTCTGAGGGTCAGGAGGTCGGGTGGCGCGGTTCTTAGAGCGGTGTCGAGCTAGGACATCATGCCCTAGAACAACGTGGAATAGTCAGGCATGTTAAGAATATGTTGAGGAATCATACCTTGGTTATTCCCACCGGCATCACGGCCTTCAGAAGGTCTTACTTCAGACCACGTTTATGGAAACAAAAGGTAGAAACATACCTGTCTGGGTGCCACTTCGTTTGCCATTGCCTAGTTCTACTATTAGCTATAATTCCCAAACACTCAGTATAAATTACCTGTTCGACGGGGCCATTCGGGTGTGCTCAGGCCACTTAGCGGAGATTAAAGTACCATCTCTCTCTGTGTAACAGTAGTCTATAAAATCGCAGTGTTGCTTGTTGGATTCAGAACATTTGTGTGAACTTATGAGCAAAGCTTCGCGTTGGGAGGTCGTGAGCGGCGACTGCCTCCACGTATAAATTAGGATTGCACGCACATTAGAAGGCTTGAGAACTGCACTAAGTGTCGCGAAGTGGACTCTAGCAGGGCATCCGCATTGGGTGACCAGGAAACGCCTCGCTAAAACCGACCACGCCTGGCACAGCACTTTGGAAGAACCCTGGGACAACCACCCGTCGTTTAGCTGTGTTGGAAAGTACTTTGAGGTCCTTAATAAACTCAAGTGTACGGAAAAGATCTTGGATTCAAAGGAGTCTTAGTCTGCCGCTAGTTCTCGAGAGGCTAGCTGTGCAATAGAGGCCATCTAGACGAAGCAGCATAGCCCTTGAACGGGATTTTCAGTCCAAATCTACACCTCCTCGCCTAGGCACCTGTACTTCGGTGTGATTCCTAGTAACAATCCTTTATATATAAACCTGTGCATCCTTCCCTGGAAGTCTTGTTTTGAAAGCCAATCAGCCAAGCCAACTGGTGTCTAGACGCTGTATTTTAAGACGTTTTGAACGCATAGAACAACTATACGTGCTCTAAATATCAGATCCGCAGTCGCATACTACAACTCAGGACCCGAACTCATCGAGGAAGACACGCTAAGTCCCCCGTGAGTCAGTTTAGATAGGATTGGGTTGGTGTGTGTGTGTTTTGTGTGTGGTGTGTTAGTTGTTCAGCTAGCCCGCATTCAGAGCTTAGTTTAGCCCATTCTATAGTAAGCGCGTCTTGTCCGTTTCAACGTGTGGAGGGATTGTACCTGTGAGGGGCCGTCAACGGCGTTGCGCGACGCGACAAGCGAGAGGGAACAGACGGTGATGTGACAATCGCGTCGGGTCACAGGCCAATTAGGGGAATTGGCGGGTCAATGATAAATTCAGTTCGATGATCAGAATGGGGCACCCTCACGCGTCGCCGCATTGACCTGAACGCGTTTTTCGGGCCGTGCTCCAATGTGACAAGCCGCTTTTGATGATTTCCTCACCTCACCTTTGCTGCGCACAAGTTGTCAGTCCTAATAAATGCAAATTTTAAAAAAGTGTGTTGTAACGTTGTAGATACTGTTCATAGTAGTGTTTTCCGGGCCTCAGCTTAATTTTCACTCCTTACCATCTCACCACGGAATGCAAACCATATTTTGAACGCGGCTCGGATCAGACGGGATCCATCAGTTACCATCACTGATGCGGTCGGTGCCCACCACCACACTGAGCTGAAAAAAAAATATTGAGTCGGGGTATATATTTCGGGTAATGGGATCCCCTTGGGCGCAGACCATGCTGTTAGCCACTGTTGTTCTACGAATTCCAGAAAACAAACACTCATTTGACTCCCGCCGTAATTGAACATGCCGATCAAAGCCGACATCAAACCGATGGAAACAGTCGGCGATTCGGCACGTGGTGTTGAGCTGTCGACTTATGCCAAATTTGAAACGACCTTAAGTACCTTGGCCGTGTGTCGCGCCGTGGATACGCGGCGTAGTTTTTGCGCGACGGCGACGTGACGCATAGCATCCGAGTGCGAGAGATTTTATTGAGCCCCTATATGACTGATTTTCCTATATTCCATCCAGTTTATATACCGCCGCTTTGAATTCATTCCTTCGTCTTCCCATTTCCCTCATATCTCGCAGGATTGAGGCCATCTTTCCGAGTAAA